TTAGATAACAGGTTTTCTAAGCTTGCTATAAACAAACTTTTTCAAGATTTGCTTTATTCTAAAATAAGAGAGGAGTTGAAGTCCTAAAGTTATGTCTTGCAGTTCATATCTAGTTTAGCCGAAAAATTTATCACATCCCCAAAAAATTCAAAAATTTGAATCACCTCCCCAAAATATATATATATATATATATATATATATTAAAATAATAAGAAAGAACAACCTGATTTATAATTCAGAGTTCTTAGCATTTATTTTTAAAAAACGGTTAGTTTTTGCAATGATTATATATTTTAAAAAATATATATATATATATATATATATATATATATATATAAAAAAAAAGAAGAACAGTAAGATATAAAATCCTGATTTTTTATTTTTTAAAAATTCTCAATGTAAATTCTTAGCATTTATTTTTAAAAAAATTTAAAATATGGTTATTTTTTCGCTCAATTCCAACCATGTTTCAAAAATTAAAACCCCTAATTTTTTTTTGCAAATAAATTAAAAGCATTATATTTTCTTCAAAAAATTTTTTGAAACATGGTTGGAACTGTATATATATTTTAAATATATATAAATATATATATAAATTTCTGGTACTAATTTTTTCCTTAAAAAGGCAACCCATTTTCAGCCAACACCTGATCAGAAGAATCATTGGTGAACAATATAAAACAATAATTGCAGGATATACTGGGAAGAAATGAGGAACCACGATTACCTGTTTGAGATATATATATATATATATATATATATATATAGTTGATATAAGGCTAAAGTCCCTGAGATATCTTCAAAAGTGGAAGTACCAATGAAGCTTGAACAATTTTTCTTAAAACACACATAAAACTTACCCTTGCGTCCTATATATATATATATATATATATATATTTACCATGCATTATCTAATGTTGATATTCTTACTAATTACATACAATTTCAGATTGTAAGCCCAGAGCATTTATTTTTATGTGATTGTCACAGTTCTCTTGTTCTGAATTGTATCATACTGATTACAAAAAGATCCAAACGAAACTCATTCACTTAAACTGCAGGAATTTAAATTTATTCACTAATATTTTCTTGGAAATAACTGAGGATATAGTAAGGACATTTTCTAATGCTTGACATTTTTACTTGCTATGTATCATTTCTCAGTTTAAGTATGGCATTGTTGTTTTGCATTTGTCACTCTTCATTTTGGTTCTGAAGTGTATCAGGCTGATTACCAAATAGGAACCAGATTAAAGTGATTTCCTTAAATTTTATTAATTTATTTATAAAACTGTTTTTTTATCCTTAATGTTGGATCACAAATGCTGCTGATGCTTTGATTAAAATTGTTAAAAAAATATCTCAAAAAAAAAAAAAAAATGTTACAAGAAAATACAAATCAAATTAATAATGGCTTCCCAAATCTTAATGAGTAAGACCTAAGAAAGCAAAATACACAAACATTAAAATGAAATTAAAATTTTTTTTAATACAGAGCAACCTCGGTTCTTGAATGTCTCACATGTTGAACAAAATGGTTTTTGAATAGAAACTTCAAGATGAAAATGCTTTAGTTATAAAACAAAATTTTGGTTCTCTAACAATGCTGAGCTGAACCAAGTTAACCCAAACGGAATCATTTGTGAGTCTACTGCCGTGTTGTATACATTCATGTGTTGTGCTGTGCTTTTCTTTTTCAATTTTATTGTACTGTGACTTTTTCTCTCTTTATTATCTGTCAGTCATGGCTCCAAAGAAAGCTAGAAGTGATACTGGTAAAGGAAAAAGAAAAGTTGAGAGAAAAACAGCTGTTGATGATATTGTCTCTTCATACTCAGTTTCTTATGACAAAATCAATGATTTATACTATTCTTATATATAAAGAGATGATCATGTCTTTCCAGACAATAACATATTTCCTTCCTCCATCAACTCACCTACTGACAGATACAGTAAAATGAGATAGTGTTTGTCTATATTTTGTTTTGAGTATTGGGTTTATGTTTTTCTTAGATTTAATGATTTTCATTAGTTTTGTATACAAACTTGTGCACAAAGTACTGTTGTAAAAGTTTAAATAAGCAATCATCTTTGGACCAGGAACAGATTAATCCATTTTATATTGATTCCTATTTGAAAAATAGTTTTGGTTTACGAAGACGTTGGGTTACAAATGGGCTTCATTAACAAATTAAATTTGTGAACCGAGGTTCCACTATATATACATATATACATAAAAACAAACACACCCACAGCAAAAAAGACAAAAGACAGGCATTATATTTTGAATTTTTTTATTTTTCTTTGTAGGTTTGTTTTTTTTTTTTTTTTTTTTTTTTTTAACATGGCATTTTGCCAGACATTTATTTCTGTTCTTTTAGTGATTTTGTTTTGCTTCTGTGATGTCTTTTTTTTTTTTATATTCTTTGCCAGCAAAAGAACGTTCTTTTATATTTTTTTTTCATTCGTTAGAATTTTTTCATTTTTTTTTTTTTTTTTTTTTTTTTCAACTTTCTTTTTGAGTTTTCATACTCCGAACAACATAAAGAAAAATATGTGGTTGAATTCAAAATACATACATATATTATATATATGCATATATATATATTTTTTATATATAATATAATCTTAAAGTATGTCAACAGTATCACTTTAGGATTAATAAAATGTATATATGTACACAACAAAACAGCTAAGCAACATCAGATAAGAGTAATCATTAAAGATCACATTCTCAACAGTTTTTTGTCAAATGTTTCTGGTTTCTTTACACTATATAATTGCTTTAAAATTTTTTTCATTATTTTTGACAATGTTCACAATTTGTAAAAAAATATATTTTTAATATATTAATCAATTTATTTTTCATATATTTTATAAGTGTTTTTTCTTTTTTTTTTTTTTCTCCTGTTTTATTTTTGTAATAGATTCAAATTTAGATTCAGTGACCTTAGGATTTGGTTTTTATTTTTGTTTTTTAATTAAAAAAAAAAAAAAAAAAAACTTAATGATGGAAAAAAAAAAATAAAAAAAAATAAAAAAACGTGGTATTTCTTTTGTTTTCAAAATTCCAGAGGTTAAAATTACCACTAACGTTTTTCATTTGCTGCTTCTTTAAAAAAAAAAAAAAAAAAAAAACCATAAAAATGTAAACACTTTATTCACTTCCTGTATTTAAACTGTTCATTTTGTTTTCTGTTGTTAATTTTTTGTGTGCGCGTGTGTATATATTGTTAATGTGCATGTGACATCTGTCACAATCCAAAATGGATTTACGACTTACTGCCCTCATTGGTGATGTGGTTACCCCATTTGATAATTTTTTTTTTTTGGTCGATCTAATGAAATTTAAAAATGAAATCTTTCCAGGGTGAATGGGGGGGCCACATTTACCCACAATGCAATGACAGATTAAGAAGCTAAATAGATTTTTCTTTTTTTTCCCTTCCATCTTGAGAGCCCTATCAAAGAGCTGTCAGGAGGAAGATCCCTGGAAGGTAACATAGTGTCTGCCATTCAGATATTTTTGCCAAAAGACCTGAGTTGACTGATTCTCAATCTCATTGAAGTCTTGGAGGGCATTCATTAAAGACTGGAGTGCATGGTACAAGACTTTAAACAATTGACTTCAGTTGTCGGTCCGTAACAAGTTCAAACCTGCCTACCTATTAACAATTAACAGGTTTAGATAATTATTTTTTATTTTTTTTTTTTTTTTCATTTCATTTCATAACTTGCACAATAACCAATTTTTAACTTTCTCATCTATTAATCTGTTAACTACAATATTTCATCTAGGAATAATTTTTCAAAAAATTAACAGTTCGAAGAGAAGTGCATGTGCCTTTGGTTCTTACATTTCTGAGTTTAGTTTAGAATTGAATTCTTTTAAAAAAAATCTGATGCTATTTTTTTTTTATTTATTTATTTATTATTTTTTTTTTTTTAAATTTTTGAAAGGTTTTAAAAAATTCAATATTTAATTTCTGCTGTGTTTAAACCAGACACACACACACTTTTCAACACAAACAACAACAATTTTTTTTCTCAGTTTTGTCAATTAAAATCTAAAAGTTTCTTTTCTTGAGGAAGAGGGGGGCAGAAATTGAATTTTTTTTTTTTCTTTTTTGAATTTTATTAAAAAACAATTTTTTATATATTGAAAGAGTTAACATTTCCGTTAAATGACAAAAAACAAACAAGAAAAAACAAAAATTGTATGTCAGTGTTTTATGAATTATTAACATGACATGATTTTTTTTCCTTTTTTTTTTTTTTTTTTTTTTTTTCTTTTTTGTGTGTGTTGCATAAATGCGTATGTTTTTTAATTGAATCCTCTGGTTGTCACCACCGGTGTGAGATACTTAGCTGAAAATTTGTTTTATCTAATTTAAAATTATTTATTTATTTATTTATTTTTTTAACCTAATGTTTTTTGTATTTTTTGTGTGTTTTAGATTTTTTTTTTTTTTGTTGCTTTAAATCAATCACAAAAAATAAAATAAAAAAAATAACAATGTAAATGCACAAATGAGTTTTACTGTGTGTATGCAATGATTTTGTTTTACTCTCACTTTCATTCACTCATTTATTCTTTCTGTCTCTCTCAATAATTCAATCTACCAAAAATGCAGTCTGTGTTATTTAAAAAATTAATCTTTTAAATGTTTTTTCTTTCTTCCAATATTGTTCATTTTTAGTCAATTTTAAAAAAAAAAAAAAAAAAGCAATGTGTTCTCATTATTTAAACCACCAAAAGTCAAGTATATCACTCAATTTTAAGTTCATACTGTTGTTTATTTATTTATATATATATATATATATATATATAAATTTATATTTTTGTTTTTCTATTTTTTGTTTTTGGGGTGGAAAGAGACTTTTTTTTTTTTTTTTTTTTTTTTGCCTCATATTTCTCTCACCCTCAACAGTAAAATAATATTTAATTACTGAATTTCTTTTTGTCTGCATCAAGTCAATTTTTTTTTCTCTCTTTACAATTACAACCCAGCAGTTGTAACAATTGGCATTTGTGTACCAGAAAGAGTCAATGCTTCTGCTAATGTAACTGGTGAGAGTGTTGAAGTCTGGGGCAAGCTGGTGGTGGTGGTGGTATTATTGTTGTTGTTAGTGCTGCTGCCACCACTGCTGGCACTGGCCAAAGCCTTGGCTTCCTTCTTTGACTTCTGTTTGAGGTGCACTTTGAAGTGCCGCTTCTTTTCGTCACTACGAGCAAACTTTCGTCCACAAATATCACACGAGAAGGGCTTTTCTCCTGTGTGGGTTCTGACATGTGTGGTCAGATGGTCACTACGGCTAAAGGAGCGTGTGCAGATTGGACACTGGAACGGCTTCTGGCCTGTGTGGATTCGCATGTGCCGAGTCAGCTCATCACTGCGAGAGAAACGCCTATCACAGTTCTCTGCTGGGCATGCATAGGGCCTCTCGTGTGGTGGGACTTTGCTGGGACGATTTGGGTACTTTCTTGGCTTCACAGGGTAGAGTTTGAGCCCTGTGTTGCCACCTGTGGAAGCAATGGTATTGCTCCCACTTGAGCACTGTTGCTGCTGTTGGGGTTGCTGCTGTTGGGGTTGCTGTTGTTGGGGATATGGGGAATTGAGGAGGGGTAACATGGGGCTGGTAGATGAGGAAGATGTCTTTGTGATGTTGGTGGATACTGTAACGGGTGCAATAGTAGTAGGCAATTCAAGAGGCATAATACCTTGCAACTGAGAAAAGCCGCTGTCCAAGTTAGTGCTTGGTTCAGTTTTGATTCCTTGGGCAGGAAACATGGCACTTTGTACAGTGGGGGCCACTTGCAAAGCTGGAAAATCTGGCAGGTTCAAGTTAAGGCTTTTGCTATAGCCAATATCGTCACTGGTACCTAGAAGTGTTTGGGTTACAGAACTGCTGGTTGAGGGTGGCTGAAATGGGCCCAAACTAGACTGGTGACTACAGCTTAAATAAGCTGGGGGCTGTTTCAAGGGAAAGTTTGGGATGTCGTACATTACGGCTGCGTATGGTGGGGGATTTGATGGCATCGAATGGCTATGATTTGAGTCCTCAGGGACCACAGTACTGGCCAAGCTGATTTGAGGTTCAGGTGTTGTCTGGGAGGAGCTGGTTGGTGGCAGAGGTGAACTGTAGCTGGAAGTGTCATGCATTTCAACACTGACACTGTGTATTGGTGATGAAGTCCGGGAGTTCTCTGATGTTGGGGTGTAGCTTGGGAGTGGTGGGTTACATTGTTGTTGCTGTGGTTGTTGCTGCTGCTGCTGGTGTGGTTGCTGCGATGGTGGTTGTGATTGATGTTGTGTCTGTGGTTGGTGCTGCTGTTGGTTCAAGTCTGTGGAGTCATTACTGAGGCTTCCTAATTTATTTACGGACAATTGTCCCTGAACTTGGGTGGCACTGCCTGATGTTGTATTGAAGAGGCTGCTAAGAAAGGGAGTGAAAAAACAAGGCTGGATCGTACAACTGGTGTCTTGACTGCTAGATGTAGGGGTCACTGCTTTGGTAACCAGTGTCCCTTTGTAGCGAATCATGGCTGTGTACCCAGCTGGATTTGAGATTGGCATTTTGTTTGACTGCATTCCATCGACGCAAGATTTCTCAGGAATGGTGATAGAAGCTTCAATGTTGGCTGTAAGTACACAAAAGTAAAAAGGAAAACATTAAATGTTAATTCAAAATCAGTAATATATTGTGTGTATTTAGGCAGCATCTTTTCATTCATACATGTTTCATTAAATAATATAGACAAGTGTTGTCTATTTATTTTATGTAAATTCTTTTCATAACGTCTTATAAGCTTAATGACATTATCATTAAACGAAGAAAAAAAATCATAATATTAATACATATTTTGTAATCCAATCTAAGCTTTCAGCTTACATAAGCCATTATCAAAGATGTCAATTACTGTACGATATATTAAGCAATATATGGACAAAACAGTGATGATAGTCTGTTATTGTTTACATGGATGATTTCCAAGCAACAATAAACACGTGCATATAAGACGCTAGAAGCGAAAATCACACCGCAGCTCATGATGTCACACATGACCACGCGAGAGTGAATTCAAGAAGTATTAAGTATGGGAAGCCGTTGGTATAAACCAATGGCTTCTTTTACCAATTATAGACATTTAAGGGTATTTGTCGAGATTCCATAGTTGATTTTGTTTAGGTTAAGTTGTTTAGGCTTCTAGCGTCTCTTATATGCACATGTTTATCATTGCTTGGAAATCATCCATGTAAACAATAACAGACTATCATTACTGTCTTGTCTGTATATTGCTTAATATATTGTACAGTAATTGACATCTTTGATAATGGCTTATGTAAACCAAAAGCTTAGATTTGGATTAAAAAATATGGATCAATATTGTGATTTTCTTTCTTCGTTTAATGATAATGTTATTAAGCTTATCAGACGTTTTGAAAAGAATTTACATAAAATAAATAGACAACACTTGTCTATATTATTTAATGAAACATGTATAAATATATATTTATAAACACAAACATACTAGAATTTTTTGGCAACACACTGTGTTGAAATCCTCTCGGTATTTAGTATTGTTGAAGTCATCACTAAAATGTTTTGTCAAGATTTAGAAATTCTACACTTCATTCAATTTTGCAAACAGATCAATGAAATTGGAATAAGCTGAATTATTTGGAAAAATGCTGTTATAATTTTGGCTAATCACCAAAATGTTGTAACCTGGGGAAGGTTACTGAATAGAACAATAACACAAAGGTTGGTAATGAATGATAATACTTAGGACAAGAACAAAACACAAAAGATTTGCCAGCGGCACATAAAAGTAGTCAACTACTAGAAGAGAGTCAAGTGAATTCCACAATGAATCTTCAACTGCAGACCAACATACAGTATTTACATGAATGGGGACATAGCCATTATTGTTCGTAGCTATGCAACAACAAATACTTTGGCAAAAACCCTACTTTACCATTTTTACACACCCTAATAAAACCAACTGTACTTTGTACCTGCTTACACTTCTCTCCAAAATTTAGAGGATGTGACTGACAGACTAATAGAATTCACAGAAATATATATATATATATACATACACCCATACACACATTTTATCTATGAAAGCTAACATGGTACAATGGTTAATGCACTGGTCAAGTTGATCTTAAACTTGTCATCATCACTGTGCCTCACTAAAATGAATTAACACATATTTATTTTAAAGCAAATGTTACATACATAAAGCACTAAGTTGAGAAATAAATTGTCATGGCACTTAATCCAAAGCTTCTCCATAAACCATACAGAAGAAAACTTTATAGAGTGAGAATTTCAGACCCAAATTTAGCTAATGAATATCAAGATATATAGGCTTATTTTACTAATCTAGAAAAGTGAGAGGAAAAAAAAAATTATATATCATTGGCTCCTCATTTTCCAAACATGTTTATCTGCTAAGGTGGTTAGCCAATCCCCATAAGAGAAGCTTTCTCAGGCACATTTGTGTTTATTCCACAAGCAGTGCCAACCAAGCTGAGTGTATCTGGGAGATATTGCCTAATCTGGCATGATTAGCGGTTTGAACACCTGTACACTCAAACCCATGGCCACAATCACTTGTACTTGTGTATGTTTTATTTATTTATATATACAAACACATATACTTTCTCTCTTAGTTTTTGTTTTGCAACAATGACATATAGAGAGATGAACAGAATTTGAATCCAGTTCTGTTTTCTGAATTCAAAAGAATTCTTTCATATGTGCAACAAAAATCTTGACCACATATTTATAAATTAAAACAAACAAAAAAATATTTAAAATGATATTTATAATTTTACATTTCAAAAGGAAATCTATTTTTATTGATCTTAAGATTCCAATGTTTATTGAAAAATAAATTCTAAATCTTGTATAGGCTCTTCAACACTTTATTTCTATATATATATAAAAAAATCTTTACAAGTTGAAAGTGATTTATTTACTTTATGATCATCAAATAATTTGTCTTCCTTTTAAATTTTTAATATGAATGAAAAACTAAATGAAAATTCATAAGTCTATTCATAGATATATGAATAACTTTGACCCAAGTCTACAAGTGAGAAACTCAGTAAGGATTGAACTTGCTACACATATAAGTAGACATTAAGCTTAGCTTTATTTTAAGATGAGGCTTCAGGAATGATGACCTGAGTAAGAATGCAATTCCCTTCTCTCTAGTAATGGTCTTTCACACGAACTTAATTTTTTACCTCAGTGAGTGGGATATCTAGCATACCTAGTTATAATTTGAAATATTTTCTCAGTAAAATTAATTTAAAAATAAATTTTGGTGTTTGTTTTCAAAATATTTTAAAATCTAGTTAACCTGAATTGCTATTTAACCCTTACTATTTCTTTGTTTAGGAAGTTTGAATGAAATGCTCTTTGTATTGTTGTTCTGCAGTCAGAAGTACTTAGTTTCACTTTAAAAGAAGGCAAGCACTACCTTCAAATGTGAATAATAAGAGAAGTGAATGTATTTATGGACTGTGAAGCAAATGGTGGAAACTATTTTAGGTAAGCAATATATTTTTCATGAAATATATGAATAGCACCTCATCTATCTATATATATATATATATTTATAACATTATTCTGCTCTTCGAATACATGTGTTAAAAAATATTTGTTTTTGTTCATCTGAAATGTGTACTTTTTACGGTTATCTTCCTTGTGTACAACATGGTCTGAAGGTGGAATAATAATTCTCTAGTCTAAAAAAAAAAAACTATTTTAGGGCCAAAACTTGTATTAATAGCTGCTGTAAGATATAGAACTGATAAGACTTATTTTTAGAGCTCTACGAAAGAATGGCATCTTGTTATTATTGTTTCGTCTCTTTTTATTTTATCAGAGGGATACACCAAAAAAAAAAAAATACTTTACCCCACTCCCACAAAATAGTAGGGTCGGGGTCTGTAAGACATCCTTTCATTTTCTTGAGACTGTGTTATAAATGCATATTTTTATCATCTATTAAAAATAAAAAAATAAAATAGGAGTAATCAAGAGTACCTTGAATAGTTATCGGCACGACTCCCTACCCAAAATCTGACTAAACATCAAATATTTTTTAAGGGCTTTTTGATTTAAGCTGATAACTTTTTTTTTTTTTTAGCACCTCCTTGTATATCACCTCTCTTTCTCAAGTTCTAAATGTGGCCATGCAAAATGAATGACAACCCCCCACACCCCCATTCATAAGCGAGTCCGTTGTGGTTTGGTTCGTGTTCTTCGTTATTCTTTCTGGCAAGTGCTTCCCAACCATCTGGCTGGTTTTGCTATGACACAAAAAGAGTAGTAGTACCCAATAATATACTATTTCGCAAATCATTTTCACTTCCTGTGGAATTTGAGTGTTGTGATCTTGGAATAACTTGAAGTTGAAATACGTTTTTTTTAAAAAAATACTCTCTAATTTGAACACTGATGTTTCGGTCAATTAAAAGAAAGAAAGAAAAAAAAAGTTTTCTTCCCTCCCATTTTAACGACATTTATCTTATTCTTCTAGCTTTGAATAAAGCAAAATCATTAAAAACGTGTTTCCATACTTTTTATGTTTTCGAATTACGTGTGTATGTGATTATTAGTGTACGATGAACATTTTATTTTTATTTGGGTCGATTTAGATCTCAGATTGTCTTTGATAGAAGGGAAAATATATTTAATTTTATTTTAAAAACTGTGTACAGTGTACCGCACAAGACCACACGCACGGGGCAGCTAATCGTGATGATCGAATTCACTGCAGTCATGGTCTACTAGTCAAGCCTACTAATCACAACGAGACGTACAATATTTGTCTACTAACCTTAATTAAGTCTAACATAAGGATACAAGTGAAGGCCACTTAGTGAGAATCGAACTCACTAACTAATGGTTTGCGAGATGAGCTTGATTTAAAAAAAAAAAAAAAAAATTTCCCCACGGGGAGATTTAATGTCTATGATTGAAATCAGGTTTTTATTTGTGGGATTATATTTTCTGCTTAATCTTGGTTACTAAAAAGATGCTTAATTTAATTTTGTTAAAATGTTTCAATCTGAGGTTTAGTTTCTTTTAAGTTTGTTTATAAATCAAAATCTTGATCTGTTTTGAAATTATTTAAAACAAAATAAAAATTAACGCTTTATTAAGCAAAGCTGAAGTGTTTTATTTTTTTTCATGGGATGTAATTTCCCCCCTGTTGACTGTTTTTAAATCATATTTTTTTTTTTAAGCCATTTATTCAGACGTCCTCTCTAGAAAGCTAACAATGACAAGTCAGTCTGATGTACAATTCACGCATAGATACACACACACACACACACACGAGAGTAAGAGAGAAGAAATATTTGGCAATCGAGTTTCTACTTTCAAGTAATAACTGAATCCATTTCTTACTAGTGAAAACGTGTCTATGTTGGGACTGTTTAACACGTTTCCTGAAAAATTAAATCGATCAGTTATTGTATATTGGATTTTTAGAGTTGTAAAAGATTTTTTGGTATCGCACTTGTTGGGACCTTCAACAAATATAAATAAAACTAAAAACTAGATTTTTAAAAATTCGTTTTTCGTAATGTAAAAATTAATGTTCACAAAAGTCAACAACAAACACTGAACATATTTTCTCAGCTAACATTGTCCCAAACAAAAACTACTCCGATCCACATAAAACTCATTTTTTTAAGTTAATTAAAAAACCGTTAAAAAAAGCACATTGAAAGATCTGAAACGAACTGTCATTAATTTTTAAAATATCTTTCTTTTTGTTGTTGTTGTTTTGAAATCATATTTCTTCTTCGCCATAGATGTGTATTTATTTACTATTTTTATTTATTTTCTTCAGGGGTATAATATTAAGAAACAGATTTAAAAACTAGCACACACGTATACATTTTTTTTTTTTTCTTTTTTACACACACAGGATGTCTCCTCCGTACTGCAGGTTTTTAGTATTTTTAAAATGAGACTCTCTAGCTTTTCTTCTCACTGGTTTACACATTTAAAACTACCCACTAACTGGCTTTCCTGTATCTCTGGTGAATTGATTTGCTACCGAAAAGACCTTGACACATCACTCGGCTTGTGTTCAAAGCCTATTCGCTTGCTAGAGCGGCTGACATTACTTAAACCAGCAGTAGTCGATGAATGCGTGTGTGTAAAAAGGCTTGGAAGTGGCTTTTTTTATTACTATAATTATTATTATTATGACTACTACGACATGTCTACCTACCATGACTATCACGACTGCTGCTTGGCACTGTTGTTATCCTGTTGTTGTTAAATCTTATTGATACTAACAACAGTGTTTAAAACGAAGACAAGTGAGTGTGCCTTTTTAGTCGATTTTTTTTTTAAATTTTATTTTCAGTTTATTAAATCAACACGAATCCAAACAGTTGTTGTTCTATTCTGCCTTCAACACGTTTTTCAATTTACTGACGTTCTATCAACACTCAACAGGGATTTATCATTTTTAAAAAAATCGTAAGAACATCAGGTTGAAAAAAATAAACTGACATCGTTCATAATTATATAAGAATGTTATAATTATTTTATGTCAATTAAGGACGAAACTTCATCTGACCATAACATTTGAAAGTCTGGGGCGTATAACATTTTATCTGTCAGAAATAACAGACAAGAATTTCCATATTAATAGATATTTTTATCATCCTCTTGCTTCAATAACAAGTCAGTAGCAACACACTCGTTACTACGAATGGCCACTTACTCACGTTGTGCTTGTATATGTATATCATTACTATCTACCACGTCTGTATATCTGAATTTCTTTGCTACACTACTAGTATTACTACTACTGCTGTAGTGTTTTTCTGTTGTTTTTTTTTTTTTTTTCCACTTTTTCTACCCATATGTTCGAATTGATCACGTATCTAATTTTTTTATTTTACTATCAATAGATTTTTTTCTGATCACTGAATGGATTTTAAAAATTTAAATCCAGTTTAGTTTGACTGGTAGATACTTTTAAATAAAAATACGTACGAGAAGAGAAAAAAATGAAGTAGACATTTTAAAGATATTTTCTCTTGGTCGTTTTTTTTTTTATAGACCATTTAAAAATGTATTCATTATCCGATTTGATAGAATAAAATATATGTAATTATTAAACGAAGAAGACAGAAAAAAAGCTTGATTAGAGAAATATGTTAAAATCCGAATCAACGGTCTCTAAATTTAAAATATGTCTAAAAAAAGTAAGTAAAGTTTATCAACTCGAATGAATGTTTATTTCTTCTTTCCGATCTTTGGTTGTAAACAATAATTTTCATTTTTGATTCTTTAAAGAATGACTAGAAGAAAACAAAACAACAACAAAAAAAAAACAACCCCTTCTCTCTCTTCGATCAATAACTTCGTTTGACCGTTGTCCTGTGTCGGCGTGTGTGTGTATGTTTTTTATTTTTTTTTTTTCCTTCTTATTGATTACAATCACTCGTACTGATGAATGAATGAATGGGCCGGAATCACAACCCGATATATGTTTAAGTAACTTTTAATAAAATAATAGTGGACGAGATGAGAGAAATTAAATATAGATAAGTAATTTTTAACAACAATTAAAGAATAGATGTTGACAGGAAATCTCTCAAACTATCATGTTAAAAAAAAAAAAAAAAAAGTACTGGGTTTTTATTTAAAAAATTCCAGCTGATGATATATCGACATATCTTGCCCAATACGATCATCATAGTCGCAGAGGGTAGATCTAACTTGTAAATATGTATGTTTTTTTATCGGATATACAATACAACGTCAGGAGAAAAATATAGAAATTACATACCGGTCGCTGTTATAGGTACTGGATCACATGTGTCGGAACCAAAAAATGTTGTTTCCGACGATGTTGTGACTGGTGTATTTAAAGATTCATCCGTGGTTTCGTTTGGTATTCGTCCGATATTATTCAAATTGCTTGGAATTTGGTGATAATTGTCAAAACTTAACTGTTCTGCTAAGGCAACTTGAGTTAAAGTATCCAAGCCTTCCATGATCATATCGGTAAAATATACCCAGTTGAAGACTTCGTGTTAATTGTGTGAGTAAGCAAGTCTTGAGTCAAATCACAAGCTTTGCCACTATTCACAAATTCCACTAGCTTTCGAGTGTCTCAGCATCACAAAACAGGTTCAGACTATTCCAAATCTTATGAATGAAATGCCTTTATACTACACTGAATGAATGAACGTGAAATACCTTATATGGGAGAGTTCATTATATGCATCAACCAATGAGAAACGTGAAGGGCGGAGCTTAAGTTGTGACGTTTCAAATATAATACATTAGGAAGGATTCTCTTGTTTGAAACCGAAAATAGGTCATCATTCTTTCTTTTGTTACCACGGGCATCCATTTGCCTTAGCCAGTTTTATTACGTTTTAATTTCATCTTACTGACAGTCGCCTAACGAGTAGGAAAAAAGATATTTTATTTAAGTACTAAAAAATATGAATTTTAAAATTAAAATAAATAAATAAAAGGTATTCCTCCCCCCCCCACACTTTAACGAAAAAACAAAACAAAAACAACGAAACAAAACAAACAAGGGGGAGATTTCTCGAATCATGAATAATTACAAATGTGTAAGAAACGGTGACCTCCAGTGTACCTCGAAAATTTCCATATATGGCACAAGGAATGTCATACGTAACCGTACGAATTCCGTCTAGTGCTTTACTCAGAGCGGAAGCGCTGTCCATATATGGTATGAACTTCCGAGAATGTTCGGCAATCGTCGGCAGCTGAGATTACAACTTGCTCTAAGGGGCCGACGGAAATAACCGGGATTTGCCGATTATTTTATAGAGGTGTTATATATAATATATATATAATTTTTGTTTCTTTCTTCTTCTTCAAATGTTAATAATAATTCTCTCCCCACTCGATTCACTGTCACACACGCACATACATAATGAATCATACCAATCAGATCTGTTAAAAATCTAACTTGTTGATAGAATTTTGGGACATGGGTTTTCTCTTGTTCCTATCATTTTTGAGGGTGTGGGTTGGAACGACTTTTACTACAAACATTGCCTTACTACGTCTACTTCAGGAAAGTGTGTAGGAATAAAAACAAAACAAACATATTATTATGAGCAAAGGATCAGAAAGATTTTTACGATTCGAAAATTGATACTGGACATTTTAGAGATGATGATACGGAGAAGAGAAGGATTTAAAAAAAAATTCCTAGCAACAAGATGAAATGGTAATTCTAACGTGACGGTTTCAATCCCTGATGTACACTACGCAGCATATAGTATTGATTAAAAAAATGTTTTTATTTATTTTTAAGTCAAATTTCGGATCGATAACTGATCGATGAAGTTGAGATATAAAAGTTTTTATCTTATAATAGATTAAACGGAACTTTTTTTTATTATTTTTAAATGTTGATTGTTGACACCTTTGCTCGAAGTATAAAGTTTTCATGTCAACCAATTAAAAAGAGAAAATCGGTTCCTTAATTTGTAAATTTCTGTTTTCATGTGGTATGACTTGTCAGTTATTGTGACTTTTTTCCACTATTGTTTATTTACATTTTAAAGACGTGTTCATATGTTTATTTTTTCTTGGACTTACTTATTCGAACATTTTTTTAAAAATCGTTTTGATTTCATATTTTTCTTTATGAATTTTTTAATTTTATTTCCATTTCTTGACATATTTTTCTTCTCTTTTCTAGTGATTCAATATCTTCTTTCTAATTGTTTTAAAAAGTTATTCAGATAGATTCTTTTTTGCTTCAGTCTGAGAACTTGGTAAAAAAAAATAAACATAAACACGTACACGTGTTGCAATTTCTCTTGTTGATAGTCATTTTAAAATTTTACACTTCTTATGTATGTGACAGAAGTGCGATATTTACTTTTTTTTTGTTCTTTTTAGCGGCCCAACAAACATTGTATCTTTTGGTACAAATTTGTCAGCAGATCATAAATAGGTTGTTAAACTTTTTTCTCCTTATTCATCAATTCAAACTTCTGTATTTCCTGGGAGTATTTGAGAAATCTCATTTAAAGTAAAGAAAAAAAAAAACTTCGTTTGTAGGTGTCAGTGTAGTTAACTGAAAAAAACAGTTCAATGTTCAATTTTAGAGTCTGTTCTTAACAACGGGATCGTTTCAAAGAGAAAAGGTTACATTTATTTTTCTGATCATTCGCAATCCAATGGGATGGAAAAAGTTATTACTATTAAATTAGTTTTTTGACTTTTGAAAGAAATGTTTTTATTAGTTAAATAATTAAACGAATAAAAGAAGTCAAATTTTAATCAGTTATACTAACTAGTAGTTCTTCAAATAACTAAGGATAGAATTGTTCGCCATTCACTGAAAAAGAAATTGGCGGGAGTGTTTAAAAAGTTGGACATAAAACTAAAATTGACATGCAAGAAGACGGACTTGTTACTTTTTTATTTTACATTTTTTGTAAATTTTAAAAAGAACAGTAGCATATAAGGAATAATCTTGGTATAAAAAAAAACATATGCTTAGTTAGTTTTTTGTGTGTGATCCAATTTGACAGATAATGGTAAAAAAATACCTTTATTTCTTTGTTCCTGTTTTGACCTGAAGGTTCTCCAGAATAAAAGGAAAAAGCATAATGTTTTTAACTTTTTATTGTACGAAATATTAAAATAAATGAAGATAAATTTAAACTTTTTATAGTTTATTTCACATAAATAAAGTAAATTTATTTACTTATTACTCATCAGCATTTCCTATTCTAATTACGGTTGGTACTTGTGTAGTTTTCTTTTATTAAGTAACCCTGCTTCTTAGAGTGTTTTTTGTTGTGTAGAAAAATCGATGATTTTAAAATAAATCGGACCGATTTGGAGCATTGAATATTTACAACTTCGCCCATACAATTCTCTTTTGATAAACCAGACACTCTTGATATTTATTTACCTACACAACACTACTCACTCAATTTTTATTTTTTACTCTTCTTACACACGGTACTTACATAGTAAGTAAGTAAATAAAAGCGAAAGTGGTGGATATTGATACTCTGCAATTGGGTGCGGGATATTTCTTTTCTTGTAGAATTCCTGCCAACGTACGAAATCCTAGTGGAATTTTAGAGAGAAGGAATACATAACAAACACAGGTTTCCCTACCACTGACTCTCTTACGAAAAAATATATTGTTGTATGATGTGTGTGTGTGAGAGAGAGAGAGAGGAGAATCTGGCGAATTCTAAGTTTACTTTTTAGTCAGTGTCTTGTAGTTTCTTTTTTTCTTTTCGACATGAGATCTACCGGGTTGAGTAAAACTTTTCAAATGTCACCAAACTTTTTTTTTTTTTTACTTATGTGAAATTCTCGTAAATGTTTTTAAAATATTCTTTACTTTCATAAAGTTATTTGAAATATTAACTATCAATGTGTAATAATTCAATTGTACGCGCAAAAGTAACATTGTCAGGTAGTATTTTTTTAAATGACTTATGTCAAACTGATTAAGTGACTTCTAAAAAAGAAGAAGAAAACAATTCTGTTATAACATGGAATCAAAGTAAGCCAAGAAGAGAACATCAACGAAAATGTTAAAATTAACAAGTCAAATAAAAAATGAAGATAGTCCAAACAAAATCTAACAGACAAAACATCACTAACTTAAAGTTACCAAGTTTGATTGGTGATACGATCAATTCAAGTACAGTACATTTACTTTTTAGTACTTTTAAATAAATAATTTGGTGTTGGGAATCTCCAATAGAGGATTCTCCCTTGTGTGGGTGAGGTCGTGTTAGTCTACTTGTGAATATAGAAAGGAGTTCCCCGTGCGTAGGTGGGGGGTACACCCGACCGTGTGAGCCGTGTCACTTTTCCATCTCTTTTTATAACACTGTTTTGTTTCTTTCTTTGTTTTCCCGTGATAAAGGACATAATATCAATGTTAAGTGTTTCATTTTTTTTTTTTTAAGACTGTCACAATATAAAATGTGTTGAAATTTATGAGGGGAATCCTGTCGTCTTAATTTCATTTTATTTTTTATTTTGTTAGTAAGTTAGACAAAATAAAGAAAGAGGGTCGAGAAGAAATTGGAGACGTTGTAGTTTTTTTTTTCTTTTTTCACGCTAAAAACGGCTTGAGTATTAAGGCCATTTGGTTGGTTAGCCGACTTGTCTGTCTATCTTTTTTCTTTTTTTAAAAAAAAAAACAAAAACAAAAAAAAACATTCAGTGTCGTTAACAAGTCCGCCTGTCTCCTTGAAAATAACCTACTTTTCAGGCAAGCAATTCCCACGCCACGCCACAACGTGCTTCCCCAATTGACGTCATTGTTGACGTCATTGCCTGTGATCCGTAAAAAAGGACTATTTACCCGACAGGTCGTGTATATTTCAACGTTGCTATCAACACAGTATGTTTTATAGTTGGCTTATTCTTATTAATTTGTGTAAAATGTCGTGTAGTTTATAATACCAATAATAAAAACTTCACAGACGATACTGATAAAAACAAACAAACTCATAAGTTTATCACTAACTAAATCCCAAGTTAAGTGTTTCACTTTCGACTTAGAAAAAAATAAAATTCTCATGACGGAACTTCGAAAACTGAATTTTAAGTAAATAAATTGCTTTTTTTAAGTGAAAAAAAAAGTGTTTTTCTTATGAATGGGGCAATTCTTTTTGTTTTTCTGTAATTTTTAAATGTTTTAATTTAAATCTCTTTACGATTTACCTTTTCCTTCATAAAAATTTCAAACTCCCTCTCTCGCTCACCCTAGATGTTTGTGTTAATACACACAATAAATATTTTACACACGAAATAATTATTTACACATCACAATATATTTATACACATTTAACTAAAAGTCTAGAAGGAATCTCCCTTCTACCGGTTGAATAGCTGATTTCAGTGTGGGTGTCAAAAGCAAATAAAGAGCGTTTGCTTTGACCTGGTTATTGGCCCGACCATTATGTCATAGCATTGCATGGGTAAGGATGATGGTAGTGGCGTGAAAGTATGACGTGTGTTT